CGCACGATCCTCGCAGAGGGTCACCCGCGCACAAACCAAATTCGCATTTAACCACACGTTTGAGCTCTCGACACGCACGATCCCCGCAGAGGGTTGCCAGGGGTCAAACGCGATCGATGCTTCACCACACGTTTGAGCACTCGACACGCACGATCCTCGCAGAGGGTCACGTTTCGTGAGCTCCGGCCGGACCTGCCCGCCGCCTTGAGAGTAGAAAGAAACTTTTAAAGAAGTCGAATCGAAGTGCTAGAAGTGTTTTTAGTAGGTGAGATTTAGTAGGTGATGATGATTTCGAAGTGTTGGAAGTGTTAGCAGTAGTACTAGTAGTAATAATAGTAGTCGGAGTAGTGGTAGTAGTAGTAGTAGTAGTAGGAGTAGTAGTAGTAGTAGTAGTAGGAGTAGTACTGTAGTAGTAGTAGTAGTAGTAGTAGTAGTAGTAGTAGGAGTAGGAGTAGGAGTAGGAGTAGGAGTAGGAGTAGGAGTAGGAGTAGTAGTAGTAGTAGTAGTAGGAGTAGTAGTAGTAGTAGTAGAAGTGGGAGTAGGAGTAGGAGTAGGTGTTGGACAATGATGTGAGCAGATGTCCTTTCGAAGAAATCCGTCGCAGGTGCTTTCAGGGAAAAAAACAAAGACATCTGTAGGATCTCAAGTCTCACACCTGCAAGCATCATCAAATTCCGCCTTCGATCTTCATGGATCCGAGCCAACAATGGTTCCAGCCACCCAGGAGTCGCCTGACACAACTTCATTTGGGACAGGAAACTCCTGCTTCAACGCTGAGACTCACTGCTTGCAGGACAAACGACACTTCAGGAACTTGCACCCTCTGTACTTCCGTGGCAATCTACCCGCGGTCAGTCTTTTGTCCGTCTTTGTCGCAAATGGTTCCCTGTGATGTTTCATCAGCTGGAGGAGAGTTGCATGATGGCCTCACACATCAAGCGTGGAAAGTAATGTCTTGCAGCATTGCAGAAATGTGGAATCGCTGGATCAGTCTGGCCTCCACAATGTCGTTCTTGTTGGCACCTGGTTCAAGCAAAGCCAAAGTCTATAGACGCTCAGTGACAACTACAAGTCATCAGCTGAACTACCCAACTCAAAGGTGCTTTTAACTGGCGTCATGGCTGTCGTCTGCATGCTTTCTTCACTTGCAGGTCTATTAGCAGTGTGACTCTGGGAATGCCCGAAGAGTACAGCTGGAGACACAAACAGCCAAGAATTCCATCAGGTCTTCTTAAGTTTCTGTGTCACTCTCGAACAAGCTGCAATGGAGCGCAGCCAAGGCACGCAACGCTTCGACGGCCTTGGCACGTGAGCAGTTCACCTGAGACACCACCAGCTCGATGTCCTTGGGCTCAATGCCATCCTCGTCCACCTCACCTTCCTGTTGAGTTCATGTTTTGGCCAAAGGATTGAGTGTACCGTACATACCCGTGCATCCTCCTCACAAGCAGTCACCTTATGATGTCACCTTTACAAAGCACAATGTCACAAAGCTGAAGATGTCATCTCTCTTTTGGTCCTCAACCTCCTCAACCTTGGGCTTCTCTGGTTCCTCGCAATTACCAAGGCAACTCTACTTAAAGCCAGCTCAGCCCCATGTGAAGATACAAGCACGTTGTTTCTGAATTGACATATCAAGATATATCAAAGTCACTTTATACATCTTTATACATATCAAATGTTCCAAAAGCAATTATATAGATATTGCGCCGACAGAAAACACACTCTCGATCGATTCTGTCTAGCACGTGCTATGCAGTTCCAGCGCATGTCTACCAAACTGCAAACACCTTGCAAACGAAACCCTCTGTTTTCTTGCACAAGTGAGGCTCAACATCAACGTGTTTCCCAAAAGACATACAACAATCTGTGTTTTGCAGAAACATCGTGGAAACATCGTTCTGTCCTGCCGCTCCACACCCGCCAAGTGCTGCGCAGCTGTGGCTTGAGCTTGAGCACTCAGATCTTCCACCTTGGTTTCTAGGCCCAATGTCTGTTGAACGCATGGCACACATCAGTAGGCACTTGCTTTTGTCCAGCTCACAACAGCTTCCTTACGGCCCTGCCAGACCAACCATCAGCTGAGCGGCCTTGGCCTCGCCAAAGACTATGTAGGTGTCCGAGCTTTGTGCCTGACTTGACCAATCCAACCCAAGCAATGGAAAGGACTGGAGCCACGAAGAGCATTCTGAGCGACATAGCAAGTTGAAAAAGCATCTCAGATCCCTGCCTTATGCACATCAGGCTTGGAGATTACGAACAGAATGTTTTTGCCTCAACAGGACAGGCCCCTTTTGTAAGT